GTTATGTATAAATTTATGATTAAGCATAATCAGCATACAATTAAGTAGAGAGATAGCAATTTTAAAAAGTATTTGATCATGAGACCAATAATTCAAAAACACTTAGAATATCATAAAGATAATATTATAGAAAAAATTATAAAGAGAACTGCAATTTTTAGTGACTTGTAGCTTACAGGATGAAAATGTATGTGCAATAACTCATCATTGTAAGATCCTAATTCAAGATGACGTTCAAGCTGATGACTGATTTCTGACATCGTAAAAGTGCCCTTTATACCTACCAGACTGCTCGCGGAATAAGTGCACTTGTGAATCATGACAAGATCCTCCTCCTGCAGTATCATGTGAGACTGCAAGGTCTGGGACTTGCGTTTGTGAGTTCGAAGGACAGCAGCAATCCAGCTATCCCTAGTCCAAACTAAAAGCGAACAATAGCGAATGTTTCTTATCAAATGTTTTTTTGTTCCCACATCATCTAAGAATTTAAAATTTATTTTCTCAAGGTTTCCAAGATAAACAACATTTCTTGTAGCCCCTCCTCTCACATGGCACATTCAACCTTAGAATAGTATGTATTAGAATGCAAAGCACTTCCATTCAGGCGTTAAGCCTGGGGAACAGAGCTTACAGTTATGAAACTGAGGTAAAGCCACGAAGATGGTTTTCCCCTTTCTCTCCCCTCTCGACGAGGATTTTGTATCGCACTCTGTGCTGGAGGTACTTGGCATAAACATTAGAAGAACTGAAGAAAGCTTAGGAATCAGTACCTCCCTCTTCCCCGTTTGGAGGCATGAGGAACTACTGCAATTTAGGTTACAGCAGCATGTGACATCACCATTCAATGCTGCCAAAACTATGTCAGGGAGCTCTGCCAAAGAAAAAAGGTACGATGACTAAAATCTGCTACATGAAGGTGGAAAGACAGAAGTCAGCTTCCCCCCCCCCGAAGTTTGGTATCATTTTTCTGTGTTACAGAAACATGGTGAAAGACAAAAGTTAAATATACTTGGAGCTTGCTTCTCTGTTCATTTCAAACTGGTTACAAATAACTTGTTCATCTAGTGGGCAATTAAGCTTGTAACATTTGAAAGTATTAATGTCAACAGCAAATTTAAAAGCATACACATAAAGCGCCTCTGCTTATACTGATAAAGGCTTTAATTATTAAACAGTGATAGAAACCTAAATTTGTTTTTTATTACTTAGACTTAGTGATGGACATTTAAAGTTAATCCATTTCACATCAGCAACAGTATGATTACCAAAAAGACTCCAGCATGAGAAAGGAAGCTATCTTTCTGCTATTAAATCACAGTTCATATGTCAAAATACAAATAAGGTAAAATCCCCACCAAAAATATAAAAAGCTGACCTCATAGATTTGTAGGTGTACAAAGAGAGCAGAGACAAAGCAGCAACTTCCCCCAGAAAAAGAAATTATTTCTGTACGGTGTACACTCTGATATAAGCAAAAATTGGCCCAGCATTTTGCCCCAGATGCATTTACCAGCACCCTTTAAAACAACATTTGTACAGCATTCGGTCTTTTTTAAAGAAGAAAACACCACCAGACTGGAAGCAGGTGAAGATAGAAGAAAGCAAGGAAGGTAGGAGCTCAGCAGGTTTAGTCAGATTAGGAGGGGATACTGCTTTGTTCCACTATCTACAAATACACAGCTGCCTGGAATATGGCCACATTCTGTACATGAGAAAAGTTAAATATCTGGAGGCCCTCAAAGCTCAAGTGCAACTTCTCAAGGTCAGATCTACTGAAACGGTGGATGAATTGAGGCAGAAAGATTTATAGATGTGGCATTTTGTTCATCACAAGAGGCTATTAAGGAAACTTGGTAACCATGGGTGAGAAGCAAAGTCCCAAGAAAGTAAAAAAAAAATTGTGGAGACATAAAACAAAGGGAAGAAATAAACAGCCGATTCTTATTACAGGATAAGATTAATAGGGGGGAGTGCCATAGGTCTTGGTATCAGGACCGCTGTTCCATAAATTTCCTTAAGAACTGAAGCCATGAAAAAACAAGAGCCATGAAGAAAAAAAAAGGCAGTAACAGTGGAGAATGACAAAAAGTGAAGGCTTGATTCTGCTGCCATTGAATTGAAAAGCAAAATCTCATTTGATTCCGATTCCAGCAGGACTGGGTCTTTTTTGACCACAGCTAAGTTTAAGAATGATTATGAGCAACTCTAGGATTAATAATTAAGAAGTAGGTAACTGGATTAGTAACACATAATGGAACGAAAGGTTAAAATACTTCCACTCAGCATTAAGATTCAAGTTACATGTAGAATTTTGTCAAAGAAAACCCCCAACACAACCTGATGTAATGAAAGTGGAGTAATCCAATTCTATGTTTTTCTCCAGAAAAATCCCACTTGTTGTGAAAAGAACTGGGAACAATACAAAAAGTCTTGTATGGTTGCAATGCAAATGATGCAATGTCTTAAATAATGCAATCAGCGAAGTCAGTAAAGACTTACTTTTATGATTTATTTACTTAGATAAGGCTACAGCTGAATATCAGGAATCTTATCTATGGAACACCCTGAAATGAGGACAGGGGACATTTTAATGGTTTCACCTCGAGTATGGAGGGATTCCACGTGTGTGTCTGTGTGTATTATTTCACCATGTTACCAGTGCAACATACTGACAAATGCAGTAAAAATGCGATTTAAGCAAGTTAGCAGTGCTATAAGTTAACTGACATCATATTATTTATTGGGATTGATTTTTATTCCTCCCAGTCTTTGTCTTTTCGACTAGAAGGTGCTCAGAGCAGTACCTGTCCGCTTTCCCAGTTACAGTGCCTAGCATAACGGCACTGGCTATTCTTGAATGATCTTCCGTAAAGAACATCATTACTAATAATAAAATACTCACTGCGTGTGACATGGGTAAGGCACAATGAGTATAAAGACTTGATTATTTTGTTTAGTAATTGCCTGTCCTGAACCTCCTTCCCAAACAAGCATGCAATTAATTTTATACTTTAATAGGAGGGGATCATTAGAGAACTTTTTATCTCATCAAGTTGTTATTAATTCTAGCTACCCTAAGGATTACATAGAAAGCAACTGCACAAGAAAACATTCTGCGCATTTTTGGTATGACCAGCACATCTTGTCAGGAAATCACATGCTATTTGACCACCCCCCTGAATTTCATTATTACTGTCCCTAAAAACAAACAAACAAACAAAACCCACAAAAAAACAAACACAAAAACACCTCTTCTAGTGAGAATATAACTAACATATCAAAGGGATGAAGATAGTTTCACTAGAGAGAGCCAGAACAAGCCTTAAGACATGTCTATAATTGGTGGTTTGGGGACCTTTTGCGATAAGGCAATATTTGGTTTTTTTAATAGAATAAAGCATTCAGAGAAGTGTATTGGTAAAGTTCATGAACAAATCAACTACTTTTTACCACTAAGAGACGTTATCAAGTTTCCCTCATATCACAAAGCCTTCCAACGAAGAGCGATGCCATGCTGAATTTAACCATTCAGCACATGACCTTGAAAAAGCTTCCTAGTACTTCAGTTACAGGAAGAAAAGCCCTTGTGCTACCAGATTATAGCCAAACGCTTTAGAGGGTATCATTTTACCCCTCAGACAAAAAAAAAGGTGGGGGGGGGGGGGGGAGAAAAAAAAAAAGAAGGGAAAAGGAAGGGAAAAAAAGAAAGAGGGGAAAAGGAGGAAAAAAGTGACAACTTTCTAAGTGGGGGTTTCCTACTGTACTAACTGTATGCATTTTCCTTCCAAAGCCTGAAGAGGATGATATTAAGTGTACCACTTTGACAAGTGATCCATTTTTGAGGATGTTGCTTTAGATAAGCACCAAGTATCCTGTAGTTAAGACAATGTAAGAATAAGTAAATCTCTACTAGAGTACAAAGTCTCACAAAGTATGCGATTCTCGGATACGTGTAGCTCCTGTGAAAAAGTGTAACTACACCAACTTCAGAACAATGTCATTTTATGTCAGTTATTTGCCCTGTATTTCTAAAACACTAATAAAGTAAGTCTTGCAAATATGGAAAGAAATTATAGCTATCTTATTAGCAAGATAGTGAATGTATCCAATTTCTAAAGCAATCTAAAGCCTTTATGAGGTAATGTACTCTCTGGGGCATAGCTTTACACTTGTATCAAGTATTAGGGCCAAAATGCCAATTCATTTTAGACTTAAGCCTACTCTAGTTGAAAGCAGCCTTTGTAATGAAAATTATCATTGACCGTAAACATGCCTGACCCTCTGCATATGAATAATATTGGCTAACACAATTGTTAGAATCAAACCATGAGAAATACAAAGTTATCAGCAGTTTTTATAATCGTACAAAAACCAAGTCGTAGATTATTTTTATTTGTTAATTAAAATTTTAGCTATACAGCATATTTCTAACACAAAGGTGGGCTGCCTTATAATAATCAGTAGGTGTCTCAGGAAAGTCAGCTTGTTTTACCACTGCTAGTAGACTTGTCTTTCTGCTGGACACAAGACAGATACAATACAGTATGAATATGCATGTAAGTAAATACAAAATTTTGGATGTACAGAATTTGGCATGTTATTCCAAGTAACCTTTCAGACTGATCATAAATTTTGCACACTACACAGCCTTCTCTGGTGTACAAATCCACCCTTCTCACTAGAGATTTTAATGCAAATGATCCTCCTCACCAAGAACAGTTTGTGTAAGCGAGCGCAGAGCATCAGAAAGAGAATGGTAACCTAATGAAATAACCTCCTCCCTTCCCATTTCCCCTTTTGCATCAAACCTCGACCAGCTTATTGAACTTCTATACAAATCTGGAAGCCAAAGCAGCTGTGACATGGAAACCCATTAAAAAAAAGAAAACCCAGTTACAAAACCACCACCATAACACCTTTTGACAACTGAAGCTTGAACAGAAAGATCAGATATTCTTGACAGAATGCTATCCTAGGCTGCTGTTGCACCCTCTCTCCAGTGAGAGAGTTTCTGGCTGAGAAACATGTTACATGTCTCCTACTCCAGCTGTCAGCTGCTACGAAATGGGTTTCATCACTTGGAAATAACTTGCATATTTATCTGAGTTGCCTTCCAGTTGACATGACTGGATAGTTGCAACCATCTTAACACAGCATATTTATCTCACTTTGAAGCTTTTAGAAAGATTATCTAGCAACAGAGGCAACATACATATCTGTCCTCTCAAAGATGACTTTTCATAGATAACAATTATGTCTGCATGTTTAGAAGGATAAGAAATAACAAAGAAACAACCAAATTTTAAATCCTGCAGAAAATGGCCTTGCAGAAAATGCGTCCTCATTGAAGAAAGTTTTCCTCTGCTTTATAGCTGAGTAAATTTTTTTGAGCTGCAAACATTAGCTAACGCAGTAAAGCTGTAACAAAAATAAGCCATTAATTTGTAAAAGAATAGTTAAGAGGGAACACCTACCATAAATAAAGATCCCATTGTGTTAGGCTACATATCATGGTATTTATAGCTTGACCACAAACGCAAGTGTAGTGAGTCTTGAGCTTCCCCCCCCACACACCTTCTTTTCTTAAATCCACAATGTTTTGCAGCATATTATCAAGTAGTTCTTAAAATTACCCGACTGGTTCCTATCTATTACAAGATCCTCAAAAAGCTGCAGAATGTATAAGCAATACGTCAAGTGTTACTCTAGCAAGACAAGGATAGGTAAGTGAAGTCAAAGATCCAAATCCTGCTGTTCATGACACCGCTGTAAGTCAAGAGAAGCTCCTTGAAAGCCATACCTGACAGAAGTTATTGGGCCAGAAAATTTCAAACTTAATTCTCTTGATCTTCTATGTTGCTATCCATTTACTGTGGTTTGAGTTCAGGCTTGACAATCAACCACTCAGTACTTGATTGGTATTAATATACTTATTAATATAATGAAAGTACAGCAAGCAGCACGCTATTTGGTAGAGAGTACAAAGGAGTTTTTCTGCCTGTTTACTTTCTAGTCAGCTTATTCTTCCAATCACCTAAAAAAAGTATTGGAATCTCCAATAAAATAAAAAAAAAAAGTGGTTCTGCAGATAGTCTGAAATACAGTTCAGGATATACTGAAACAATGGACATAAGACAACTGAGTCCATCCTCTGAAAAAGACTATTTACATTTTTTTATTTTTGTAAAAAATCTCCGAGCGAACTAAATTGGCAAAAAGTGTTACAGGTTAAAACGAACAAACAAACAACCAACCCTCCCCCCCCCCCCCCCCCAAAAAAAAACAAACCACCCAAAACAACAGTGAAAGGGGAAAAAATAGTAATTTTGAACAACATAGGCCCTTTTGTTCATTATATAGGGACTCTGTAAGGGACAGCTGCATCAAGTATTCTTAAGGTTAATAGATACTAAAATAACAAATTCGTACGTTGGGCATACACATGCCACATTTTTATGAACATGTGTATGCACATAAATACACGGTAAAAGCAGTTATCAACATTTTGTAGACTTTTAAACTCTTTTTTTTAAAATCTTTTGGCTGATGATGCTGAGTTACTAAGACTTTTTAACTAATATGTGCAGCTCAAATGACTTTGGGTACTCTGAAACAAGCATTACAAGCTCTATCTATTCACTTAGTGTTTCTGGATGAAGAAACAGCCCTATTAAAATCAAAGGCCAACTCCTATTGACTTAAGTGGCTTAATACACTCTAAAATCCACAGCTCCAATTTCACCCTCCTTTATACTAATGAAAATCCTAAATAATTGCTCTGAAGTCAGTACACACTCATAGGATAAAGATGAAAAGAGCACGAGGGTCATTTTATTTTATAGCTTAGCTTGATACTTTTGTGACTGATTAACTCCAGTGTCACAGACAAAGAACGTAAGTGCCTTTGATTTGTATGTTTATGTAAAATAATGGAAAATCTGGGATATCGAATTGACCCACGATAAAATTGCATCATGAAAGACTGACTGGGAAGGGTATTCATGTTTTAGAATATGTTGTGAATGAAAGAGGCTTCTGGAAAGACTGTTAAGAAGAGACAGAAAGAGATGGTCAAATACTGTGCCAAAAGAATCTGAGGCTTTAATCACGAGACAAATTAACTCTTTACTTTTACAAGAAATAAAAACCAGTTAATGTCAACTACATACTAAGACAACTATTCAAAAAACCCGAGAAAAATCTGGTCAAGCATGCAGTGGTCACTGGTACGTGTATGGTACGTGTTTGCCTCTTTGTGGCACACCTTCCAGGCACTCTTTAGTACGTCTCCTGTTTTGGGGAAGTTAATGGTCTCTTTATCTGTTATGCGTACAGCATGGACAGTGCTCTAACACCACAGAATTACTGGTATTAACCCTCCTCTGCTCACACGGTCCTATGCCGACTTGGAAGAATGGCCTTTAATCATTTAATAGCGTGGCTCTCTTGAACCGTTAGCAAATCCAACAATTAGAGGGATTTGGAATTCAGAATAGTATAAACCTGATATTCCTATGTACAACTAAAAGGAGTATTCTGCTGCAAGCCAAGCTTGGGTTAATACCATCTACAGTTCAGTAAAAAAGAAAATCCTTTTCCCCTTTTCTCAAGCAGCTGAGGGAGAATAAATTCTTTGCTTGCCTTGGGGGCGGGGAAGGAGAAAAAAAATAAAATCCCTCTTTCAAATTTCACGGACACTTTCATGCCCGCGTTGTCATTGCAGGAGTGTATTGTGGTTAGGCTGTAGTCTTGTTTTGCTAGGACTGAATGCAGTAGCTTTCCTGAACTATCACTAGCATTAACTCAGACAACTAGCATGGTCTTATAAGGACTTCTAGTTTTCTCCCCCATGTTCACATTTTACAGAATAGATTCTTTAAGAGTTTAAGCAATTCTACTGCAGAACTTCTCACTGCACAATTGATAATAAAATTAAATGCAAGTTATAAAAAAGTTAATTTCCCTTTGCATTTTCATATTTTCAGGTAGATCTTTTTTTCTCCTAAAAACCTACTAAAAATGTCATACAGATCTGTATGACCAACAGCCAAAACCATGGCGCCTGTTAAACTTCGATACAACGTCACCAAACCTTGGTTTTCGAAAAGAAAGAAAACAAAAAATAAAAATCACACTCCAGACTCTGACGCCCTGCCAGGGTCTATCAGCACGTGGATTCCGTCCAGGTGCAGGCGGGCCGCGGGCCCCTGCAACCACAAGGCGCAAGGTCCACCCAGGCCTGCGGACCCGCAGACGAAGCCGCCATCCCGGCGCAGGCTTGCGACCGCAGCGGGTGCTGCCAACGAAAAAAGCTGCCAGCGAGATGGGTTCAGGCTTGAAAGTCTGCTTGGAAGAAAAATCTGCTCCCAAGCCTCAGTTTAAAAAAAAAAAAAAACAAACACCAAAACTCAAAAAAAAAAAAACCAACCCAAAGAGAAACACCAAACCACCCAATAACACCTTGGGGGAAGCGGGAGGAGAGGTTTGTGCTCCCAAGCAGACAAGCGCCTGTTCTCCTTGCTTGCCTCCCAGGCGGCCCCCGCCAACAGGACCACGGAGGTTCACCCGACGCTCAGTCAGCCTTTGGAGGAGCGCAGGGACTGCCCAGCTCTGCGCAGGCGGCCTCAGCAGGAGGCTCAAGCCCAGCCTGCCCTGAGGCGAGCCCGGCTTGCGGGCCCGCCGGGAGGGCCACACCCCCCCCAGCCCGCCCGGC